CAGTTTATTCTCTTTTATAGGTAACACACAAATAGAGAAGTTGAAGCACGAATTGAGAGTTGGCTTGGAACACGAATTGAATATTCAGCTGTCTTTAGGCTTGTGTGTGCTTCGATATGGAAACTCACCACCTTGCCTAAAATAAAATACTTCTTACGGCTTCTAATACATGCTAAATTACCCACGGCTTCCCTGCTCAACAATAGAAATATTTCATTGGATGCTACTTGTAAAATATGTCAACACCATAATGAAGACATTCCCCATATTTTCTTTTACTGCAAAAATGCCTCTGTAGTATGGCAACATTACCACATAACCACCCCCTCGCAAGATTTCCTAAATTGGTTGCACCACCAGTGTACCTCTAATAACTTAATCAGTCTAAATTCAAATATCCAGTTACCCTCATATATCCTAACACATGTAATTTTTTGGCAAATATGGCTCACCCGAAATCACAATGTCTATGACAACAAACAGCTCCCAGTACACATCCCCTCCCTACTTACTATTGCAATCCAAATCAATTACCTTAAATATGTACCCCACTACCAAAAATAATAAAACTCAACCTGTTTCTTGGACACGACCTCCACCGGCTAGCTATACGCTCAATATTGACGGAGCTTTTGATACATCAACTAACAAAGAAACACATCACATACAAAATATATACAAACTATATATAAAATATATACAAAAAACATATTTGTATAAATTTGTATGAAAATTATATTTAAGTTATATGACGTTGCAGTTATTTTTAATGGGGTAAAAATAATGTATGAAAATTATAGATAAATTGTATACTATATAATTAGTTGTATAAAATTAATTACTATTAGTTTATATATTGCTGTAGATGTATCGAATTTGAATATTTCGGCATTCAACTTGTTTGGTTTAGGTGCTGTCTATCGTTAGTGTCTCTATTGCTTTGGTTTGGCGCTACTTTCTGATTCAAGCTATTAAAACAGTTTTATAAGATTTGGTTCTCAATTATGTTTTGAACTATTTTACGTCACAGTGGTTAGACATTATTGGAATTGTTATACTATAGATAAGGTACTACTGGAACGAGGAGAGAAAAAAGATAAAGGTATAATTGAATCTCATAATTTAAGGCACTGATATGGATTGTATATGGAGAGAGGTGGCAGTGAATAGGGAAAGAGGAGATGAGAGGGAAAAAAAGAGTGTAACTGAATCTCTTAATTTAAGGCACTAATAATGAATTGTATATAAATTATAAGCAATTTTTATTTAGGGCGGGTAATATACAAAATTAGGACAATTTTAGTAAATAAGGGTGTGTTTGGTACGAAAAATATTTTCATGGAAAATGAGTGATTTTATCACTTATTTTTCCTTGTTTGGTTGGTGAGTGAAAAGCGTGTTCCGAAAAATATTTTCTNTGGCCATAGATTCCAAAATTTATTCTGAAAAATCTGATTTGGGTGAAGTTTGATTTGAAGATGAAAATATGTTTGGATATCTGTTTTGGGTGAAGTTTGGTTTGGAAAAATATGAAACATGACTTATACCCACAAGTTCTAAAAATTATCACAAATATCCAATAATATCATTATCAATAACATTCATTATATTATCTCAAACCATAGTCCTAAACATAAATAAATTTGATACACAATTATCGTTTTTATAATGAACTACATGATACACTATCTGATAACCGAGAAGACGAAGCAACATCGTTACAAAATAATAAATTGTGGGCTCTTTTATAAAATACAAAAGTTTGGAGCAATTTTAAAAAAATATAATAGTGATATTTTGGCCCAAAACCAGCTATTGAGCTGGTTTTGGGATTTGGGATTTGGGGTTTGGCCAAAATGTAGGCAAAATCTATGGCCAAACATGTGTTTGTCAATTAAAATCCAAGTTTATTTTGGCAAAATCTATGGCCAAACGGATCCTAAAAATTCACACAAACCCAAAGGAACTAATGTGCTGCTTTACTTTTTTACACAAAAATAACGTTGAAATTTGTGCTCCATAACTAAATAGAAACTCTTTCTAAAACATGAAAATAAAGTATTCATTTTATTGAAATAGAAGAAAATATTTTTTCTACATCATGAAAAGAAAATACTCATTTTGTTGAAATGAAAAAAAAATTACATAATGAAAAAAAATATTCATTTATTGAAATGAAAAAATAAATTTATCTATAACATGAAAAAAAAAAGTACTATTAATAATATTTTTTATTTAAGGTGGAGAGGGTGGGGTGGGTTGGTGGGAATGAGGAATATGATGGGGAAGGTTGAGAAAGAATTTTGGAAAATATTTTCCCTTCGCTTGATACGGAAAATATTTTCTTCCAATTGGAGGAAAATGAGTTCACGAGAAAAATATTTTCCAAAATATTTAGGCCAACCAAACATTAAAAAATTGGAAAATATTTTTCGAAAAATATTTTCCTTCATATCAAACACACCCTAAATTTCCAATATTGTATAGGAATGAAAAAATCACTAAGTTTTTATCCTAAAATCCCTTCACTATAATTGGAGTGGTATTACAATCCATCAAACTTATCTATAAACCCAGCAACCTACAATATTGAATCTTCAAACAAGAACCTGGTTTTGGTTAGCAATTAGCACATTGTTTATCCCTAAAAACATGGTAATACTGCGTAATGAAGGAAGTTTCAACTGTCACCCCCTCTAAGTACATTACAGCTAATTAGCACAATTTATTCCACACCAAGCTTTTGCATCTGAAATGTAGATTAAAGGAGTCCATGTCATTCTTTTGTGTATTTTTTATTTGTTAATGCAGTCTCCACGAAGGTTGCCTTAGGTCAGTCATAACATGCTGTTCACGTTACTTTATACCAACAACTTGTAATAATTGAAAATAAATCTACATAAAATAATTGAAGCTCAAAATCTTACGACCTAGCACTATTTTCCAAAATTAAAATCTTCTATTTCTGAATCTAGAATTCCATGAATATTAAAGAAAAAGCCGTCCTTTCTTATTAATATCCAGTATATTTTATTTTGTAACACCAACTTGAGAGTTTTTACTAATTAAATTCCACATGGACATAGGTTCTACCTGCCCTATATATAAATGTAGATGCCTTACCAAACTAACCCAAGCAGGCTTAAATACATCTCTAGCTCTCTGCTTCTTTCAAAAATTGGAAGAAAAAAAAAATCAAGAGAAAATTACAAAGAAACAGAAAATGGGTTGTTGGTCTGCTGAAAATGCCACTAAAGCTTTTCTCAAAACCATGAACATGGTAAGTACAATTATGAACTTATCATATCTGAAATCTGATATACATTTCAAATGATTTTTTCTCCTCAACTTGTTACTAATGTTATGTTGATCTGATTCAGGGAAAGAGAGCTACAGAACCAAACGGAGCAGAGTTCATCTCCGCGCTCGCAGCAGGAAATAATGTACAACTTATGGTAGTTGCTTGTGCAAATGTTGCAGATTCCACCACCCTTGCACTTGTGGCAGCAGCTCAACAAACAGGAGGACGCGTAATTTGCATCCTTAACGGCGTAGAAGAATTATATCTCTCCAAAATGGCACTAGGCACAAATTCTAGTCACCTTGAATTTGTTGTCGCTAATGCTCAGAGTCTAAACATGCTGCTGCCAAATTACTACAAAGATGCTGATTTCATAGCTGTGGATTGTAATATCCAAAAACATGAAGAGATTCTTGAATCGTTGCGAAAACATAGGAGGGAAAAGAATACTATAGTTTTGGGATATAATGCATTTTGCAAGGAGTCGTGGAGGAGTAGCCCTTTGCGTACGCAATTGTTGCCTATAGGAGAAGGGCTGCTGCTGACCAGAATTGGTGCAAAAGCGAAAAAGGTGACGGCTCAGGGGATGGAAAATAGAGGACATTGGATTGTAAAGGTAGATAAATGCACAGGGGAAGAACATGTATACAGAGTAAAATCACCTCGAAGGAGAGTGGTTGAAGCCTAAATCTATTGATACATTATAACTAGTCTAATTTTAGTAGATTGGAATTGTAAATAGTTATTTGATGTACAAAACTTCAGCTATCATGGATAATAACCAAAGATTCAAATATGCGGGAGGAGAAATTTTGATAAATATAAAATGTAATCCAGTATTCTAATCTGATAACTTTGTGGAGACATAAATGTAATTACCCAAATCAGTTAATATTGATCCGATGCTAAAAATGGAGAGGAAATTAGGAAAGAGAACTGTCAATATTATTATAAGTATCTGCAGTTTGACAGAATTTCTAACAGATTTCTGAAAAGACTCAGCAAATGACAAAAGATTGATCAAACAAGCTCAAACTTTACTCAATTCATTTCAATCTTCAATTCGAGTAGAATCACTCAACTTTGTTAATGGTATGAAATTTTACCTCTTAGATCTATCATGTGAAAGGCCTTGACAGTTTTCATTAGAAGGACTGACAGGGTAATTGCATTAAGTAATCTCTTTTCTTATGAGAACTACTAATCATCCTCATGAATAAGCTCTAGTCTACCTTAAGAAGATAAGGGGTCAATAGGTCTCGGTGCAGCTTAGGCCCCATATCCATTAAAGTATTAGCCAGTGTTTCTTTCCGCCGATTAGATCTGTGGAATCCAATCTTAAAGGGAAACTCCACTCTAGGATCGAGATGTTTTGACCCACCCGGATATTTGGGCTAATCTTTTCGTGTGGACTGTGGAAATTAATCTTTTCAGGTTATCTTAGTGAAAGAAGTATAGTAGGAGCAAATCTCCACATCATATATTTGTTTGTACGATGACAATCACTGAATTCAAGCACAGCTTTATTGGGCCAAAGTGTGCCCAAAGCCGCTCCAAACGATATGGTAGTCCAAAAAATGTTACCACGTCAGTCATCATATATTGAATAATTGAACCCCTTGCATATGAGACTCAGGGCACAAGATTTCAGCATATGGACAAACGACAAATGAAAAGTACAAAGCAATGATACTAGGTAAATGGAGGAAAATCCTTCTTTTTACAAACAGAATAATAATAATCCATGAGAAAGACAGGAAATTCCTCCAAACTGAGAAATTCTAAGGTTAAATGGCATACAAGATACAGACATTCACAAAAGAGTCGAGGTTCACGTTCAAAGAACTTCACGAACTATATGTGTAAATCCACTCCACCCCAATACTCGTGCAAGGTTAGTAGGAACCTATCTCCAGCTAATAAGTTAGGAAAGAAAATTTGCCAGAGCCAACAAATGGAAGAAGTTCATTAGCATTAGGAAAAGATAGCTAAATTACCAAGTTCTCGTACGATTGTTTCCATGGTTGGTCTCTCCTCTGGACATTCATGTGTACATAACAAAGCAATATTTGCTAGTTTTACTGCTTCGGGGTCAGAGAACCTTCCACGGAGATTCGCATCCATCAAGTCATGGAGTTTGCACGACTCAGCAGCAGCACGCATTGAACTGGTGAATTTTCGCTTGCCAGAGAGAATTTGAAAAATTAGCACTCCAAAGGCATAAATATCACTCCTCTCCGTAAATCGGCCTGTAGTAGAGTACTCTGGAGCTAAATATCCCATGGCAGCACTGGCCTTGAGTGCTGAAAAGACGATATCATTTGTGAGAAGCTTATGCAGGCCTGAGTTTGAAAGCAATGGTTTGAATCGCTGGTCAAGGAGCACGTTCTCAGCACAGATATTTTGATGCACTAGAGCTGGCTTATTCACCTTGCACCCGTGCAAATACTCGATCCCTGCTCAAGAAGATAACAGATGGATTAAAGGGCAGCCCCTTGTTAGATCCACTCTACAGTAAAGTGCCCAACTCGAGAGTTGTATTAAGTATTACGCTTGTTTTTAATAGCACAAATCAATATAAGAGAAAAACCTTACACTTTAAGGTACGCCCGTGCTAGTAAGACAGATAGATAAGACTTGAAACACATAGTAAAAACTACATCTATGATCCAACACAGTCCTGTATAAAATCTTGATATGCAACTAACTTCCTTTTTGTGATTTTTAGCTGAGCTAAATAGTACAGGGGGAGCAAGTCAGAAAGCAGCAACAATAAAGGATCTCAATGTTTCATGATCTGGCTGGACAAGAATACATATGAATGCTTATTCTTTATCCATTAAGACATGAAATGCCTTTTCTGTTTTCTTGGGTTTAACCAAACCGACTTTTAGTAAGAAGCATGCTTAACATCTTAAATGTTAAACAGTTTCTGCTCATAATACCACTCAATGTTGAATTGTTGATGCTAAGTACTCAAAAAGTAATATAATTTCAAAGTGATGCACTTTAAATATAACAAAAAAAGAGTTTATTCAAACACTAACCTTTTGCGGTGCCACTTATGATAGATACCCTGGTGGACCATTCAAGTGCACGAGCGTCATCCTCCTTCACATCTAGGTAATGCAACAAGTTACCTCTTGGAACAAAATCATAAACGAGAAAACATTCTCCCCTGCTTTTAGAGCAGCAGAAACCTCTCAACCTAACTAAATTTTCATGTCTCAGAGACGTCAAAATGTTTAGTCCTCTTAAAAACTCGGCTTCCTCTGACTTGCAGCTAATTTTGGTAAGTCTCGTAACAGCAACAAGTGATCCATCTCTTAGAGTCCCTCTATATGTAGTCGAAAAGTTGCTCTTAGCCAATCGATTCTTATCAGCAAAATACTGTGTAGCTGACTCCACCTCTTCCAAATTGAATCTGTAGCTCTGCAAAACCTCTTGGGAAACTCCACCATAACGCCGACCCTCAGCCAAAGGATCCCAACCACTCGAGTACTCAAGACTAACTAGTGGAGAACCGTTCTTCCTATTAACCTCCTTAGCCTGGTCAGTACTGAGACGGCTATCACACATATCAAGTCCACCTCTGAGTTTCTGGTTTCGCCTTCTATAGTGCGTGAAGGTAAGAACTCCAATAGCAGATGCAATAACAGTAACCACAATAACCCCTACAACAACAGATGCCTGTGAGGTTTTAGATGACTTTGCACAGCCATTTCCGCTGCAATTTAGATTGAGATTAGCTGTCTCTGGAATATCTCTTGTTGATAAACCACTCGAGCCACCTCCATAGGGCTCTGGTCTATTAGGATTTGAGCGATCCAAAGAGGTACAAACCCTCAAGGACGGGAAACCTACTCCGCATAGTCCTGGATTGTTCTCATACTGAAATCCTCCAACTAATCTCTTCAAAGCTGCAGAAACCAGAAAATAAAATACCAGATAAGATATAATTTCACCACCGCCAACAACAACAACAACCTAGTATATTCCCACAAGTTGGGTCTGGGGAGGAGGGTAGGATGTATGCAGCCTTACCCCTACCCCTTGAAAGACAGAGAGGTTGTTTCCGATAGACATAAGATATAATTTCACCAAACAAACATAATGTAGGGGAGAAATTTTATTACCAAGAGGCACATTGCCAGAAAGCTTGTTGTTTCGGATATCCAAGGCTTCAAGAAGGGGAGCATCCGCGAGTTTTGAAGGAATTGAACCAAAAAGATGATTAGAACTCAAGTCCACCCTCATCAACACTCCTAACTCCCCCAAGCTAGCGGGGATCGCCCCAGTTAACTGATTTGATTGCAGAGCGAGGACATTGAGCTTCTTTAGAGTCCCTAGTTGAGTGGGTATGCTACCACTGAACTGGTTATAGCATAGTTGCAAAACTGTACAATCCGAAACAAGATAATAAATTGATAAGAAACAGACTCCATAATCGAAATGAGGATGAAAGTAAACACCCAAAAACCAAGATTGATGCCACCTTTACAGTGGATAAACTACTAGAGTGAACTTTTGGGGGGGGGAAATTAATCTTTAACAATTCCAAAACTAGACCAAGTTTCAACTTGTGAAATCAAGAATTTATATTTTAAAATGAAATAATATCAAAAATTTCAGTGAGAAATCAAGTATTAACAGCAAAGCTCCTAATTTTTCCAGCATGAGCTCAGAACATTAGAAGAGAAATATAGATAACTAACAAGGAAACGTAAAAATCGTTTCTTTTTATCACAATGCTACTTAAAAAATGCTAAAAAATCAAACAAAACATAAGGCATAAAGAAAGAAGTTTCTAACACTAACCTTGCAAGCTGGACATATTACCAAGTTCAGAAGGAATCTCACCAGAGAGATTATTGACATTCAAATACAGATCAGTAAGCTCAATCAAACTTGAAATTTCTCTGGGTATTTCTCCATACAAAGAATTATAATGCAAGTAGAGTCCCGTCAAGTGAGAAAGCCCACTAATGGCTGGCGACAGTTTCCCAGAAAGCCTTTTACCTTGAAGTGAAATATTAGCCACTTGACCTTTTTCATTACACGCAACACCTTCAAAAGAACCATCACATGGATCACCAGAAACTGTCCATGAAATGAGCAAAGCATTTTCAGGGTCAAGACTTGCCTTTAAGTCCATAAGAGCTTGCAATTCATTGTTTCCATATATGGGTTGTGGAGAAAAGAATGCGAAGAGTGTTAGGAGAAAGCAGAGAAATGGAGGAAAACCCATGTTACTCTTTTGACTGAAAATGGTGGAGAGTGAGGTTTTTTGTGGGTTCAGAGAAGTAGTACTTGTAAACCTGAGTCACTGACTCACTTGGTTTCTTTTTCTAATGTTTCTTTGAATGTGTCTGCTTTAGTAGAGTAGTATAGTGTTTTGGTTTTAAATAATGTTGCTTTTTGTTCTTCTGCTGCGTTTGTGGTGTTGTCCTATGTTCTTGGCTTTTGATAGAAGAGGGAAGGGACCGAGATGAGGTTCGTATATCGGCGTTAGAAGCGTGCAGCAGTGCAAGTGAAAGTAACTATTCCAACAGACACCAATATCAACATTAATACCAAAAATAAAATAAAAAGTGAAAGAACAAGGAGAAGAGACAAAAGTTATTGGACGCCCACATTTGCTATTGGTTAAATAATAGTAAGTGGTTTTGTTTTATATATAGTGATGTTTAAGTCGACATTAATTTTTTAAAATATCTTAACACATAGATATATATTAATGTTGAGTTGGTTGAACTCGATCACAAATAGATATTAGCTCGCCAGGGACAGGAGACAGGGTTTATTCTTGAGTCTAACAGTCATTATCACAAAGAGCTTAATGGCCAGCCGGTGATTTAGTAGGCTTTTGGAGATAAAAATTGTGATCTTAAAAATAAATAAAAAATCAAGAATTAAGTTAAAAAATAGTATTTAAAATTTTGAAATATATTGGGACGTGCATTTTACTTGAAAAAATATTATAATTTTTTTTAGTGTGGAAAAATATTTTTTTTGGAAAACTTGAAAAAGTGATTTTTGGTTAATGAAAAATTCTTTTTCAAAAAATCTCCAAAAATTTACAAATTTTCATGAACAAATACATTATTTGAAAAAAAAATCCGAAAAAAAATCTACGTAAAAACGGGTCCTTGACTTGTAGTGGATAGACCAAAATACAAACAAAATTACTATTGTAACTGAGATTTTTACCGCAAATACTCGATCAAATACGTACGTAATAGCTTTAACATACACTGAAGTGTAATAAATCTCGGTCGAATGCTATCTTCAACATGATTAGCCGGCATGCAATGAAGTAAAAATTATAACCTTTAGCACAATAAAGTAGTGAATTCGGCCTATTAACGGCTAACTTCTTACGAATAACATATCTAGTGATATAATTTAATATACTCATATAATATAACAAATCTATTTAGGTTAATTCAAATCAATTATTTTTTGGACATTTTTTATTATCATTATTTCCTGCTTTTAATCACTCTCTTTTACTGTATTTCCTATACTTTTCTAGCTTTTAGATTAGCCCGTGTCTGCCTAAGTTCATTTTCTGGCAAAATGATTTCGTTTGTGTCAATTTTCATAACAGTATGTTATCATTTATGATCAAATTAAAAGGAAAGGATATTATTATGAAATCAAATAGACAGAGTACGAATACAACTATTGCAAAAATTAGTGAAAAATTACGGAATGGTGGAGATATACCCAAGTCAGCAAAATCTGCAGGGACATGGCATTATTTTATTTCGAGCAAACTGAGAAATATTCTCCTAAAGTTGGCACTGCCAATAAGCCATATATAGCACATAGAGAAAATTGTAGTTTTGCATGTTGAAAATACGTGGCAATTTTGTTGTGCTGTTAAACGGCCGCTGCCGTGACGTTGAAGAATCTTTAAGTTCAGCTCAATTAGTTTGAACTCTTCTTCAACGGACAATTTAATTTCCTCTTCTCGTACTATTTTGAACAATTTACTAAAATCTTGTACTATCACTTCTTTTTTTATTCCTTCCCTGATTTAAGCTCTAAAATATTTGAGAAATCGACAGAGTTGTCTAAGGTTTGAAAGCAGTAGACAATTACCATATTCAAATTGTGATTAAATGTTTGTTTAATTTTCTTACAAGTATCCGTAGTATCTTATTATTTACTAGTAGTAACTACAATGAATAGTTTATTCAGTTTGTACTTTGACTGTTGCAATTATGTCCTGATACTCTAAGGTGCATCAACCAAGTCACCTTAATCACAAATTTTGCTGCCGATTACTATACACTATCACATTCTCTAGGTGCGTCGTCAAGATTGCTTACTTCCTCCGGTAATTTTAATTAATTTTTTGATTGTTTTCATACATATTAAAACACTTATTTTTTAATTTTAATTAATAATAAAATTGACCATATTAACTTTTACTATCTCTATAATTTGTTCATTGAAAATATAACAGATATTTCGAGACTTTTTACTCCAACGGCAACTTTACAAAAAATAAGTTAATTTCTTCTTGATTACTAAAAAATTAATATTGTGCACTACAAACAAAATTAAAAAAACTTAATTAAAGTGGATCGAAAAGAGCAGCTATTTAACTGTTTTTGCTGATATTTTTGTTTATTGTAGTTAAATTCGAACCCACGACATAACAAACTTAGTTTCCCTAATTGCTGCGTAGTCCTTTGCACAATAAGTTATATGTGGTTGAAGTTGGTGGTCCTCCAATCACCAAGCTAGAACAGTTCTCAGACCTATTGTAAATTGTAAAAATTGAAATGCTATAATGGGAGGGGTCAGCGGTTTTCTGACAATCAGATTTGACGGGTTTTAATTGTCTTGTTTAACTCCCTTGCCCCCACTCTGTTTATTGCAGTTTTAAATTTATAGGTCACCTCGGCGAGGAGATTCCCATTTCGTAGGGCCAATGAATTTTAATCAATTCTAGCCTAGAATAATCTCCTACAACAAATGCTTAACTTTCTTATAGTGGTCACTCGTTCTATATACGGGTAAAACCGAGATTAATGAGCACCCCGATTTTTCCGTGAGTCAAACGAATCAAGGACATGACTATATGAGATAGGAATCGGAGCTGGGAACTTCTCATACTAAGGCTCGAACGAAATGCTCGTCACCGGGCCCGACAAGACAATACCCCCGAACCCAGTACTACAAACGGTTGCATGCGACTAACAGATGGTCGTGATATCCTTACCCGACCGGATATCACGGCGCGGATCTCGCCCGATGTCGGTAGCATATCAGTAGTTGATGTACAAGAAGGATTTTTTCCTTTTTTAGAATTGTACTAGAGGTAAAACTCAACTACTATATAAAGGGGGTTTCTTATTCAATGCACACAGGGTAAGCGGCATTTAAAAGCAATACAAGCTTGTTTCTCTACTTTCTAGTTATTGAAAGGTTCTTAATTTAATCATAGCTCTTCATACACATCTCGCTCCGAATCGGGGGCAGAACAATTGTCAAGCTTAGATCCGAGCCCGAACTCAACGTCACAATTGGTTTGGTTATTTATTTTATCTTTAATTCACTTATCTAAGATTCTTGATATTTTGTATTGATTCAATCCACATATCTTTAAAACTGCGTATAAATTCAATTGTTATCCATTTTAAGGGTAAACAGTTTGGCGCTCACCGTGGGGTTAAGGATAATAACGGTGGTTTGATACAAATCTCCATAACACACTTTCTTTTACACTTGTTCTTTAAGATCTCAATTTCAGGTCAGTTTGAAAATGTCAAATTCTCAGTTTGCTCACTTGAACGTCGAGGCTCAGTCTGGCAATCATGGCGAAAACAACAATATGGTACCTAGCAATGAGGTGCCCCATGTTGATCCCAACGGAGTCCCAATTGCAAATCCAGTCGATGCTAACTTGCATGTGGCTATTGACACCAACCTGCCTACCGACCCCGAGAACAACGTTCGCGAAGGAGCCCGACCAATGGCTCGAGGAGCGCCCGAAGGCGAAGGCGACGGGGTCAGTCTACGAGTGATCTTCAAAATGTTGCAGGCCCAACAAGCGATGATAGCACAGCTACAAAATCAAAGTCGTACCCCCAGTAGGGTCGAGCCCGAACCATCCCGGGAAAACACCCGAAGAAATGAGCAGATCACTGAAAGCCCAGCTGAAATTGAGACCGGTGTCAGCCCCGAAGTAATGAAAATGCTTGAAGCATCAACGAAACAGGTGGAGTTAGGTGAAAAATAATTGAGGCAAACGACAAGAAGGTGGAGACATATAATTCTCGGGTCGATCAAATCCCGGGAGCGCCTCCGATATTGAAAGGCCTAGACTCCAAGAAATTTATCCAAAAGCATTTTCCTCTATGTGCGGCACCGAAGCCAATCCCGAACAAGTTTTGTATGCCCGATATTCCAAAATGTAATGGACCCACGGATCCAAATGAGCATATGACCTCCTACACATGTGACCTCAAAGGTAACAACTTGGAAGACGATGAAATTGAGTCAGTGTTATTAAAGAAGTTTGGGGAAATTCTGTCAAAAGGAGCAATGATATGGTACCACAACTTGCCTCCAAATTACATTGATTCGTTCACTATGCTCGCGGATGCTTTTGTAAAGGTGCATGCCGGGACCATCAAGGTCGAGACAAGAAAATCGGATTTTTTCAAGGTTAAGCAAAGGGACAACGAAATACTGAGGGAGTTCGTGTCAAGATTTCAAATGGAACAGAGGGACTTACCTCCAGTTGCGGACAATTGATCCGTTTAGGCATTCACTCACGGACTTAACCCCCGAAGCTCCTTGGATTCGCAGTAGCTGAAACAAAATTTGGTAGAGTACCCGGCGATAACTTGGGTCGACGTCCACAACAGGTACTAGTCAAAAAACAGATTCGAGGATGACCAACTCGAAACCCCTTCTAGGTCCGTTTATCCCATCAGAACCGACGACAGGCCTAAGAGAGTCGTCGATCATGAATCAAGGCCGGTTTGAGATCGGTACCAACCATACAGTACAGATTAAAGGGGAAACAGGTCCGGGCACAACTCTACAAGGAACGAAAAGAGAAGCGATCGAGGGCCAAATAGCCGAGGCCTTATGACCAAAAATGGTTTCGATAGGCCGCTCGGGGGAAGGGAAGCTCCAAGATTGTTAGAGTATAACTTCAACGTTGATGCAGCCAGCATTGTATCAGCCATTGGGCACATCAAGGAGACCAAGTAGCCTCGACCATTGTAGTATGACCCCACGCAGAGAGATCCTAACCTGATATGTAAGTATCAAGGCACTCAAAGCCATAGGACCGAGGACTGCCCACAATTGAGAGAAGAAGTTGCCCGATTGTTCAATAACGGACATCACCGGGAATTCTAGAGTGATCGAGCCAAAAATCACTTTAGGAACAGGGACTCCAACAAACAGACCAAACAAGAAGAACCTCAGCACGTCATCAACTTGATTATTTGAGGGATCGATGTCCCCTAGGGACCGATGATAAAGCGCACTAAAGGATGTTGAGCGCATCATGCA